CCTCAGCACAGGATGAAGTGTTAAATGGCATTGACCATGACAATGTGACACCTAGATTTCCAGCCTAATTTTCAGACTTTATATTTATTGTACGTTCTGCTATATGTGGGCATGAGGAATCAAGGAGCCTGATAAATTGCTACTGGGGGTTCATTTTCAGAGTAGCGTCTGGCAACATAGCTGGGCAATTCTCATTAATATTAATAGAAATTTAGGAGATAAATCTCCTTGAATAACTTTTAGAAAATTTACCCATAATGTGCCTTACATTTCAATAGGCCGAGTTGTGTTTTGAAATTACATTTGTGAAGGGTGATGTGATAGGTATAATAACGAGGGATATGCAAAACCCAGTAGGATGCATATTTCTACATGACACTGGAGGTTTACAGTACTTTTAAATCAGAGCATCCTAGAATACTATTAATGAAATCCCCTTTAACCTTAAGGGGTAATTTTTTTCTAAGTGATCCATGGGGGATTTGACTGTTAAATTTCCATTAACACTAATGGGATTCACAGTATTAGAAAGCAAGTTCTCCACTAGCTGTGCTGTAATTTTACCCCCTGCAGCAATTAATCATGCCCATTGCACTCTTTAATGGAAGTATGAAGCAGATTATCTGGCTAATCATGATATGTGATCAATGGACTCTTCTGCAATAATTGCTTGCTGACTAGTTATAACCAACTCAGTTTTAGGATTTTATGGATGAGTGACAAAAGACAGGGTGCCCCTATTACTGTTGTATGAGGGTTAAAGACAGGAGGCTATGAAATTTACCTTTTTCTTTCATTTTTTTTCCCCCATCTTGTATGCTAGGGTAAACCTATGCCATCTAACCATTGATTTGGATGGTTTTTTCCTCTCTGGCCTTCTCTGAAGGCTTATCACTTTACCAAAGTGCAGCTTTGGGCTGAAACTCTCCTCTTGAGGATGCTCTTTGTCATGCATTATAGTATTATGGTTAAAATAACTGGCAAACATGCAAATCCAGGAGCACCATAGAAAATCAATAGCATTTCTTCAGGCAGAACACTAATTTGTAGCTACTCTGCATGACTGTGTCTTTTTCCTAATGAATTCTCCAGTGCAGAGGTGCACTAAACAACAAAGATAAATACTGTTGTGCAGAGGAGCATAATACAGATTTATAGCCTTAACAGAATTCAGAGTGCAGATGTTTTACATATAACCAAGATTGCTTTATGAGTTTTTGCAAACAGGGTATCTGTTTTCTAAGAATTTTTTTAATTCCCCAGTGGAATTTGAAATGAATGAAGCGATGGAAACTTTTTAAATACACTTTGGCACCATCCAAATGGCAGTGTCCTCCGCATGCAAGTGATTCAGCTCTTCTTAAAAGCAGGCTGGTAACATAGGGTAACTTTGAAGCAGAGGCATCATTGGAGCCCAAAGACTCTTACAAGAGCTCTTAAGCAATTTCGAAAATCCCTCCCAGAATATGCATTAAGTTAGCCAGGCACCAGCTCATGAATAGCTTTATACTGCCCTACTCTGTCATTTGGCATGGAAACATTTAGTGCTTTGTTATTAATTCTTATATGTGCAGAAGCTTTCTGCAGAAATCCTGATTATTTTTTTCTTATGGGGGAAAATAAAACTAGCTGCTTCTGTTATGCTACATTTCCATGGGGAACTCTATTAATGTGCATAATATACAACAGCTGATGGCAAGTGATGATCAGTTGCTTATACCAATGGAAGCCCTGGAACGAGCAGTTTACAAAGCTGGGTAAGTAATGAAAGTCCATGAACAAGGCACTCCACAGGGAAGCACACTGACATAATTTTGGCTCCAAGCTTGATTCTCTTTGGTTGGTATTGGAAATCTATATAACACCTTTCCTTCCTGGCATCTTCTACTTTGAGAAGGTTCGGTTCAATGCAATAAGGAATTTCAGCTAAACTGCACAGCAGTCTATGGTCTGTGCAAAGGGCAGCCTTGCTGGGGCAGCTCATACCTGGTCTCACTCTGGTGAGTGCTCCAGGACGAGGCCTTCATGGTCATTTGTCACTCCCTGACTCTAGGCAGGGTACATGTACTGATTTGTAGTTAATGTGGGTGATCTCTGTAGCCTTTCTGATCAATCCAACCTAATTAAAGGAGTAATTCTCTGGGTTTAGGGCCAATTTACCTTTCCAAAATGGGATGAATGCCTGGAGCTCAACTAATAATGAGGTAACATCTTAGAGCCAATTAAGTGAAAATGAATCAGTAGAGCGCATTAGGCTTGATAAAGTTCAATAGGAGATAGAGCAGGTATATTTTTCCTCATTAGAAACTCCTGTGTTTTATGGAAAGTTGGAAAACAGCAGCTTCTCACGTGAGGATGTCAGGCTCTCATTCCTAAAAGCAGTCCATGTCCTTTAGTTCCAGCCAGCATCCTCGTGGTTTCCCAGCACTGAGCTGTACTTCTGAGGGGTCAGGGATGCAGAACAGCCTATATGCAATATTTTTCTGGATGTTATTTTAGCAAATGTTCTTGCAGATCAGCCCTCATCTTTGAAAAGATTCTATTAATAAAACCAGCTGTGGAACAGGAAGACAGAATGGTGTTATTTGTAACTGCAAAGCTCTTTCAAAGCACTATTCATCATCCAGATAACTTACTAAATGGTTTCTGAGAAGAACTATTAATTAACTGGGAAGAGCAAGCCACATTAACATTTGTTTACTGCACTGTCTGTTGGCCTTGGGGGCTTGGACCAGAAGAGAAATGCCATGAAGAAACGGAGGGGTAAATTTTAGCTGTCCCCTCTGTGGGCAGAACACTATGCTTTGTACTGTGAAAGCTGGCTTCCATGAAGGCCAGACATGAAGGTGCTGTGTGAGAGTCAGCTCTGCCCTCTTGGTGCCCAGTTGACTTCCATCCCTTCCAGCAGAAGGCCCTTGTATTTGGATCTGCCAGTGAGTTTTTGTGTGTTTTTGTTTTTGTTTTTCACTTAATTCTTAGCATTCATTTTGCATTGTAACTTTTTGCTTTGTTTCCAATGTTTTAAATGACATCAATCTGTGTTCTAGAAGCAAACAGTTCATACCAAGAGTGAAGTACTGGAGCTGCTGCCATTTTCACTCCAATTGCAGGTAGATCTGAAGGGCTGAGGCCATTAGTGTCATCCTTGCAGAATGAATCTGCACAAAGGCTTGCTATTTATGGCTAAATTACATGCTACCAGGATGTAGCATAAAATCTGGAATTGCTGTGTAATGAGAAATGTAAGGAGACATAGATGTCCTGGCTTACATTGCACATGGTTTGCAGTCGCTTTGGGAAGCTGCTCTTGATAGAATTGGTGTGAGATCTCTGTATTTCTGCTGTGTCCCTTCCCTCCTGACATTTTAAACTAATGGAATTGTATTTGATTGTTGAGTCAGTGACTCAGCATCAGGAATGAGCACTTTGACAACCCCTCTTCAGACCAGAAATTCTCTTGCTCTCCAGGCCTGAGTCACAGCATATCTGTCGCCTCTCTTTAGACTGGTAAATTTTCTTTTCCTCAGTACCAAGAGGTTCCAGAGAGAAATAATTTAATGGTCATACTCTAATTAGATATATGATACTGTGAAAATCAATTTAACTGGAAGGAAGAAAACATTCAGTGTGATGTAATGTAAGCATTTGGTTTTTGTTCTGAAATAGGACAGATTTGAGGCATTTATTCTTTCTATAATTTGGTTTTCCTATGAGTAATGCCCTTTAATAATCACTATAATAAAAACAGATTTGTTTTCCCCAGTCCTTCTCTTGTCATTCATTCACATATATCCCCGTTTACATCATACGTTGGCTTGTTTGAGCAGATCACTGAGGTTTGTTTGTTCAAAAGCAATATGTATTTGTTTGTATCAGAGGAAACCTGTTGATGTCGTAGGGACTTTTGTCTTAGGTGCCACCTTGCCTGTAGCAAACTTTATAGAATCTGAACACCCAGCAGCAATAACAGCAGCCTTTGATGTTCACTTAGTGTGTTCATTGACTGCATCAGCAGGGTTTTACTGCCACTGGTAGGACAGACAGGGACAGAAGGGTTTTGCTGGCCTTGTGCCCTTGCAAGGCAAGGTAACCTGAAGCCGTGTCAGTATATGGGATGAAAGCAGTTAAAGGCTGTAGTGAAAGGATCTGTTGAATGACCATAAAATAATTACATAACATAGTAATCTGTCCCCAAACATTTACAGACTAATGCTTGTGCACTGCAACCAACATCTCAGCTTCCTCCGCTTTAATGCTTTCTGTACCATCCTTTTCTGACCTAATGGCAGCTCCCTTTCCTCTCTAACAGAAAGAAAATGCATCTTCTTTCCCTTTAGTCTGCTTTGTCTGGTGGCAGCAAGGTTGGAGGTGTATCTAAGAATATCACTCAGCACAAAGAATTTTGTATTTATTTGCTGCTAGCATATATGTAAAGCCTTGGTTTGTTCTTGCGTACAAAGCACTGGTGGAACAAGGTGAAGCAATTTGGTTTTCAGTTTTCTACTTGAAGTGAGGGAGTAAATAAAAACATCCTGGGTTTACCTGAATACTGAAATAACTGACCACACAGTGGCAGCCTTTGTTACTGTATTTCAGCCAGTTTACAAAGGGCTGGTGAGGCTATTTGTGCTTTCTAACAGGCTGTTCAGAGCAAGGTGTTTGTATGTAATATAAACCCTGGGCTCAATCCACTGCATCTTTTCATGGGATACCCACAGTGTCATTCTCTCAGCATGTGTAATGAGATCTGCACTGTTATTTTTCATAAAGGTAAGAAGAAATAATTGAACAGATGCATGAACAGAGCTGGCAATTGTGAGTCTTGCATGACTTTGTCATGTGCAGATGGGAGAACATAGCTAAGTGTGTGATGAGTGTATTAAATAGATGTACAACATTTCTTTTAATAATGAGATCTAAATCAGAAACACAATTCTGTGTTAGCTTGCAGGTTTCTTTTTCATTAATACGTCATAAAGAGTTCTTACAAGCAGGTGTTGTGGGCGGTGATTCTGGGCTGGTGTGGTCAGGTGCACGAGCTGTTCAGGATATGTGGCCATCAGTGATCAGAACTGTGTGTGTTTGGTTGGTTGGTTGTGGTTGGCTTTTGCTTGGTGGGCTTTTTGTTGTTTTGTTTTTAACAAATCCTGGGTGGGATGCTGGAGGCTTTATATACACTTGTTTTGAGCGTCCCCAGTGAAGTTGTTTTCCTTGTATTTTGTCTAAATATGTTTACTAACTCTGGTTTTAGGCTGCTTTTCCAACCAGCATAAATGCATTTCGCTGTTCGGTGTTTCACTTCAGCATTTCAAAAAGGTAACAGTAAACTGTTTACTTGTGTCAACAGTAAAGACTAAATCACTCCCCTCAGTTACATGTCTGTGACAGATTTCAAAGTGTTTTCAGAATTTGACACATTTCTTCAGGAGAGGATGTTAAACTAATGTCTTGCTGATTTGACAGAGTGAATCAATTCAAAGTGTGAAGCTAGCAAATATGTGCAAAGTGGCTCCAGGTTGCTAAACCAAGATCTTCAATGTAATGCTGCTATACACTCAAGCTAGAGCTTTCACAGTTGTCTAATACGTTTATTTAATTGTGTACATTCACTTTGATATCTTACAGTTAAATCAATCTTAATTATCCCTGTCCTGGAAAGCCCTAAAATGCCTGGCTCAAAAGGAAAAATATGTGTTAGATTGAGTCCTTGGCCACTGGAACCCTGAGGTGGATTTCCTGCTATGCTAAGGCCATGTGCTGCTCTGGTGGGAGTGAGTCACAGCCAGTGACTTTGTCCGTGGACAGATTTATGTACCAGACATAGATCTTCCTGTCAAATTGGTGAAAGAGGCAAAGGAGAGGGAAAATGAGTATGGGAGCATCACCTACTAAAGGTCATGCAGAAGGCAATGGGGATGGAGCTGCAGTGGCCAAAGAGCCCAGGCTTCCTGAAAATCCCATGAGGACACACTGCTCTCAGTTTTAATTTGTGGTTGTCAAATGTAAATTCAGAGTGGGGAGGCATAGACACTGGGACACAGGTAAATCTGGGTTGCATTCTGCCTTCAGAGTTTTGCAGATTAAAAATCTGCTTCTCATTTCATTCTCCCCTATGGCTATGGCTATTCATTCTCCTTCTGCTTTTGGCAGCCTGAGTCTTCCTCAAGAACTTTCAAAGTAGTTGGTGGAAACGGTAGTCTAACTTTTGGAGGCAAGCTTCCATGCAGGATGAGAATCAGCTTGAAGTTCTGGACTGTAAACGTTATTCTTGCTGTTAGATCTGCAAACCTTCAGCTGAAGATGGACCAAGAAAATAACATTCAGTCTTTTGATAGATGACCTCTGATTTACAGTGGTGACACGAAGCTAAGAACTGAGTTATCAGCACATCCATCACTGGATTTACTGCAGCACTGCACTATCTCTCTCTCTTTTTTTTTTTTTTTCCTAATAGTATGTATATTACTGTATGATTTTTGCATGATCTAATACTTTTTCATGCACTCCTGCTATTATTTTGTCCAAGATTACATCATTCCCATTAGGCTTTTATTTATCTGTCCTGTGTAAATCTGCTGACATTGCATTTTTTTAATTCCTGATGTCCCAAAGCTGTGCTATAGTGAGAGATAAAGGGGTTGTGTCTCATTCTCAGTCAGATCAGTGTGCCTTCCTGGAAGCCAGTGATGAGATGCCTCCTCACATCTGCCTTAGGTGTGCACTGGGAAGCTGTGATGCGCCCTGATTTTCAGCCTAGATTTTATTTATTCTTCAATTTCCTTAAATAGGCTTGAATCAGATACATTAGCAAATCAAAAGCTGTTGATGCTTTTCTAGGCATGGTCCTTTTAGAACTGTAATCCTGAAGAAAGCTGAAAGGTGCCAGACTAGCTATTTCTGTATTCATGTACTGGAGAATCAGAACAGCTTGAATTTAGAGCTAGGTTCAGACAGCTTGGAAGTGCTTCGTGCCTTTGGAACTCATACTTTGTGCATGTGCTGCTTGCTCCTCCACTTGCTCAGAGGACAAGCAAGAGAACAAATCTAGTTTGTTTGATTTTCAAACCAACCCTCCTGAGCTTTCCATTTCTTACAGACCACACACACGGACTTTGTGCCAGGCTGTGTGACACACTGCAGGAGTTGGGCTGCTCGTCTGCACCCTGCTGGACATGGGCCAGTTCCCAGTTGTATGGCATGAGGATAAAATAAGCTGTGCTGAAGAAAATGCAAGAGAAATATATTACTTATGATGTACCCCGAGATGTCAAGATACTTTATATTTTCTAGAATCAACTTTGACAGAAGTTGATTCTGTCACAGGATCTAGTAGCAGTGTTACGGGACCATGAAGGCACAATTAAAGCCATGACAGTTAGAAAACTTACAGTAACTATTAAGCAGGAATTGAGAAAGCAAGGAAAGAGGAGCTGGTAGTTAGGGGCTGAGAAGCCAATTCAAGTGAAAATTACTTCAGGAACTACTCCACTAATTTTTTTTTCCATGTCCCTGCATTATCTTTCTGCCTCTCAGAACATCCTCGAGTATTACAGCGGCTGAAACTGCTGGAGGGGAACAGCATGAAAAATAACAGAAAAATAATCGCTTTGTAAGAAGTGGGGGCTGATACCCAGAGGCATCTTAACAACAAACAACCAGCAAATCCTTCTCACAAAAGAGAGGTACTCAAACAAGGCAGCATGCCTGCATGACACCAAATCCTGTTGAACAAAGCTTCTCTTGTAAGCCCTGCCCACTTGCTTACAGTAGATAAATACTACTAAACCTTTCCAAAGGAAGCTTTAAATAAAAAATAAAATTTGAAAACAAGGAGTCTTGGCTGCTTGCCCAGTTGAATGCCCAAGACATATTTTGACAGGCAACCGGTACAGATAACTCAGAAGAAAAGTAAGGCCAAGTGTTCTGATAATTTAGAACTGTCTGGATAAATTGTGAGCCCCCAAAATCAACTGGAGTGGAAACTAAGTAATTTTATTAATATGTTAGATGCCATCCTGGCTTGTAATTTAACGTCTCTCCCTTTCTCTCCTACCTGCCAAGCACACGTCCAGTCGCACACATCTGTTCTTTATGATACCAGACGTGCATCTGAAGAAGAAATCAGTAAATACAGTGAGATTTTCCAGATGACAGTCAGTGATCTGGAAGTTCAAATCCCACTGAATTTCTGCTTGGAAATTTCACTAGTAATTTGACCACAGTTCTGCCACATCCTCCCTGCATGAAGTTTGCAGTTATGTAACGCATCTCATGTTTGAGTTCATATTTCTGTTGCTGCTTTTGGTGAGGTTTGTTCAAAATGGAATAATCTGGAAGCCAGCACTGTGACACCTCTCCTCAAACAGAAACTTTGTGGAAGTTGAAACTGAATTCAGTGTTTAGATATAATTTCAGTGGTATACGATTGCCTGGAATTAAATAAATATTTAGGCCCCAGTTCAGCACAGCCCTGGGCTGCCTCTTAGCTGTGAAGCACTTCAGTCCCCTTGATGTCAACAGGAACTGAGTGCTTGGTTAAAATGAAGCACGTGCATAAGGCTTTGCTGCATGGAGGTGAATGCAGGCATGCTGTGAAGCATCCTGCCTTAGCTAGTGGAATGACTGCCTGTAAAGAAGCAGCAAGCGACACATTTGACAGATGCTGTGGCGATATTCTGCACAAAGACACAGCAAAGGAAACAGCAAGTGAGAAAGCAGCAGGGAGACATTCAAAACAACGTGGCTCTCCATTGAAAATGAAGGATACATCAGCTAGGAAGGGATAACAGTAAGAAAAGAGATCTTAACTGGGAGGGAGGAAGAAATAACAAATCCTTTCTTCGGATTGGAAAGTAGAATTGAATAGGAATATCAGCTCCACTGTTGTTTCTAAAGTTAGATAAGTGTTGAGTTTATAGGGAAGGTCCTCACTTTCTTTCATTTATTTCCTCCATTTATCTGTGAGGGCAGCACGCACCTTGAAGCAGGCACTTCTTTTCCTACTATGTGTTTCTACAGCAGCAAAGCCTTCGTGTGATGTTGCGCTGGTGTGAGCAGCTGTGTGCCTTCTGAAGGTGCATGTCACCACCAAATGCTGCCCTGGGGATGCATGAGCCCCATCCAGACACTACTAGGCTTCAAGGTTTCAAACTGAAGATGATGTTTAGAAACAGCACTGAAAGATATGCTGAAGTATTTTCACTTGAAGTTCAGCAGATTTCCCTTGCAGCTTCAGTTTCAGCTCAATGATGTAAATGCAGGGTGCTGCCCCAGAAGGGCACAACCACAGCACCAGGACGTGCTGCGAGCAGCTCTGCAGAGGAGGACCACGACGAGTCAGCTGCAGAGGAGATGGCATAGGGTAAGAAGTAGCTGTATCTCTGGGGCCATGGGTTTGAGCAGACTGGCTTTGTTCTCAGCACCAAGCAGCAACACAGGATCTGGTGTACAGTGCTGTCAACCCTGCAATTCCCAGTTCCATGCAGCAGGGTTATTCGCCACCACCTGTCAATGCCAGGCGTTCGTTTGGCAGCAGTGTGGTTGTCACACTGATATTCAACAAAGAGAAATAGAGCAGTGTTGTGTACGTACTCCATCCTCAGTGCCTTTTGATCCTCACTTTAAAATTTCATAACTGACAAATGATGCTACATGGCTTTTCAGCAAATACAATACATTGTGCTTACAAGGACTTTTATCATTTTAAAGCCATGACATTTCTCTTGTTTTTTCTTCTCTTTCACTTTCACGAAGCAGATGCTTTATGTTTATAGATCCAACTTCTATATTGCAACTGATGAAAATGGATTTTGTTTCTTTTGAACTGAGGGCGTTACCTGCAAGTGTGCTGGTGCTGCTGATCCCCTCAGTGTGGGACAGCCAAGCACCTCCAGTGCTTCTATGCTTGTCGTTGTATTTTCTCATTCCAGCAGCTGGGCCAGTATGTCATAACATAGAGGAAACTGGCACCCAGGGGACCACCTAGCAGCTGGGGAACCAAATGGTTCTCTCAAGTGTTGAAAAGAGGCAGGAGAAGCCAGTGACTGAATGCCTTCTGCTCCAAACTTCAGTGAATCTCCTCTTTTCTTCCTATATTCTCTCCCAGAACTGCTCTCCTTTATCATTTTGATGTAGAGAAACATTGAGAAAGCAGGGCTGCAGTACCTCATTACACAAGAGGGGAGCTGATCCTCCCCCAGTTCAGGCGAGGCCTGTTCTGGGGCTGCAGATGGCTGAAAATGGTGAAGGCCATAAAAGCTGTATTTATAAACAGTTTAAATTACAGTCCTTGAAGGTCAGACACTTAGAGAGACGCAATATACTTAATTCTTTGTGTAGATGTCATCTATTGCTGACATAAAATGCTGGTTTGTCCTAAGATGTGTTCTGTTCAAATTGCTGGGAGTCGTAACCATTTCATACTATGGCACTTCAGTTAAGGCTGAATTATGAGCATTACATGCATTTATTGGCATATGCTCCTATGCCTGTGATGATCCATCTGACAAAAGGCAGTGATTACAATATAACATGCCACATATTAGGAAAAAATATGGAATGGAAAAAAAAAAAAAGGAGGCTGGCAGTCAGTGTTTTAAAAAATTTGTGCCATTTTAATGACCAAAAAAAGCAAAGTATTTCATTTCTATGTATTGTTTCCCTCTTCAGAGCCTCCTGTTTTAAAGAGAAGGCAGTTTTATTATTTGCCCTTTATATAAGTACATGGAGGTGGTGGGGTTAACTTGCTCAAATACTTCCTCAGGTTTTGGTAGAACAAAGGATTCAAGCAAGATCTCCTTCTCATAAAAATGCCCTACCCACAATGTTATACCATCTTCTTACATATGTATATTATGCATAGTTAGTATCCATGAAATCAGTACCTGAATTTTCTACAGTCTCTTTATAATTCTTAGACATGTTTTTTCAGCTTCTTGCTTTAGAAAACATGTTTTATTTTGACTTCTTTCATAGTTTCTATTAGAAGTAGTCATGGTTTGATATTAATGTTTGCAATGCTTTTGACACAGTCTAAGTCATGAATATATGAAACCAGCTTTCCTTTGTATATTTTGTCGGCAGTTTAATGTCATTTCAGCAAGGGAATTTATTCTGAATACAAAATGATTGTAAATTCTTTTAAAAACTGTTTCTTGTGTAGTAACTTGTAAAAGTTGTGCAATATCAGAGAAGTGCAACAAGACGGGTATTTTGCTTTTGTTGATGAGTACATTTTTTGCCAATTTAGCCCACTTTTGCTAAGCTCAGCACTTCAGCCAAAGTTGTTCATCAGATATCACATTCATTAAGTGCTGTTGCTGTGATTATTTTTTTATTTTTGTCCTGGGTCATACTCAGAATGCCCTTCACTGATTAAACACCATCCTCGAGTGTGTAAAGGACTCAAAATTTATCAAAACAAAAGATGAAGGCTTCCTCCTCATTTGAAATCATGTAATCACAGTTAGGTTGAATTGTGTTTTGATTAAGTAGGAGATGATTACAGAGATCCATCACTCTGCCTTTAGGCTCAGATAGTTTCAGACTAACTTCACTCAAGTCAATTACTTTATTGTAAATTTACAGCAGCTAAGCTCAAAGTACAATTAAGTCATTTGTTGTGTGAAAGGTATTGGAGGAAAAAAGCAAAGGTAATAGGGGATACGGACTGTGTGCCAATGATGGATTTAGGGAGTGTGTCCTACACAGCATCAAAAGGGGAGTGTTAAGCACTTAGGCAGCTTTATGTCTAGAGAGGCACTGACAATTGAAGCATGGGCATTTTCACAGGCAAGGAAAAGCAAGGAAGCCTTTCACCCGCTCTGACTCTTGAAATGCTATTGGAAATATTCCTTACAGTTTTGTGAAAAGAAACAAATTGTTATAGTGCATCAGACTAAGTGCATAATGGAAAATTTTACTCGCACAAAAGATTTGTATAATTCCCTTGTGGCTGGGGTACTTGTGTGTTAGCAGGCTTTCAGGTGTGAGAAATAACCCTACGAAGTCATTGCTGCTATTGTGACCCATCCTCTTTTATTCACTTAAATCATTTTCTTCCTTACTCTTCTAGTTAAAGTACATAATGACTGCTCGATTAGGTCTGCTACAGGCTGCTCATGGCAGTGAAAGGAGGACACAGTTCTCCAAAATGAAGTTTTTTTAAGAATGCTGATTTCACCTTGGGGATGGGTTACAGTATTTTCAGTTAAAATGGAATCCAAAGGTGAGACATTCTGTGCTTTTTCCAGCCTCGCAGTTATGATGAAAAGGAGAGTTTGGAAAGTTCATCCAACCCAAACCTATTGCCTAGACAATTAGAGGAGCTCTACTTGCCTCCTCACTGTAATTCATTCTGTTATGTCCATTGTGAAAAGGATTAATAATTCATTGGTGGATGCATTGCTACAGCCTTGCCAAATTGGGCCGGGCAACCAGACTGTGATCTCTGGTTTTGTGAGGTTGCTGATGACCGCCCTAAGAATCAGCATGTACTCCAGGTGACTGCACAGACATGGAGCTTTTCTACCTCAGGCATCTTTGGCCAGACTTCATTACCAAGAGGCACTGCTTAGAACTGTGCCACTTTCTTCATAAAGTTTACAAGGTATTAAATTGTTATACTGGTTATTATATTGGTGTAAAACATTACATTCCAAGCTTCTGTAGCTGTAAAGATTGCAGTGGCAATTCATGAGTTTGAAGGAAAATCAGAGGCAGCAAGACTTCCTAGGTAATCAGAAAAAGGAAAACCCACCCACACTGTATGTACTGCCCGAGGTGATGGCTGCTAATGAGGTAAGTGTGATGTACAGTTCTGCTATGAAAATTGCATAAATAGGAAAGATAACAGGTTCTTCAGTAGGTCTTCTCATGGGTGTTTTCAGAAGCACACTTACTTATTTGACTCAGAGTTAAAAGGTTTTTTTAGCTTCTGTGAACACTGAAGAGCCTGACAGCAGCCTGACTGCATCAGGGTCTCCCCCAGCCCAGTCAGATCAAACCAGGTAACCCACAGCTTTGCCTCAGGGACGTGCCACAGGCAGCCACAAAGCCCTTTCCTCTGTACTGATGCGGGATATTCTCATCACTCTGTTCTGAGTGTAGTGTCCTTCAGATAGTAATGGAATTACTTGGCATAGTTCAGTTGCAGAGCAGAGGTTGTGACCACTGTTGGTCGGCAGAAGGTGGCAATGTCAGGAGAAATGGGAAAACAAGATA